GTTTAGTGTTTATCTGTGGCCTTAATACTTAATTGAGTATGTGTTTAGGTATTGTTTATGCTTTCTGATTGCTTTCAGGAAGATGTGATCAGGATGTGGGCTTCCCTTTTCACTCTTCTTATTGGTTAACTCAGAGAAACTTTCACAGGTGTTGCCTTTTTCCTTGGTATATGGCAGTTGGTATTGGTTCTTGCCTGGGTTTCTGTGTTTTATAGAACATGATTGTAGCTTTACTATATGGCAGCAGTTGCTGATGTTTTTTGGATAGTATAGGGAGAGAAAGAGTCCTCCAAAGGTAGAGGACAGCAAAACTGCACCAGCGGGGGGAAAGAAAAACACGGAAAAAAACACACAAAAAACTGGACTGAATACTGCAGTCTATAATCACAGAAAAGAGAGAGGAGAGAGAGAAGGGAAAAAAAAAAATCTGTAGCCTAATATGAGTATGACTTTAATGTCCTCTCTTCAGCTTCTCACTTTCAAAACTGCCTGAGTGATTTCAAGATGCCACTGTTGATTGTTACACTATACCTCAGGCTTCAATTTAATTTTCTGCATGTTTTGTTTTTAAATTCTCTTTCCCTCCCTACAACCCTGTCCTGCCCTTTCCCATATTTAAAAAAAAAAAAAAAAAGTTCAGGGCCTACTCTTGTGCTGAGTATATGTGTGCATGCTTGGCAGAAGAACCCAGCAGTAGTGAGGGTGGGGAGTGTCCACTTGCTCAGGCTTCCCCTCTAGTCACCAGAATGGAGGTGCACAAACAGTGGGGGTGCCAATGACGAGATACCAAAAAAAAGTGAATCAGAACAAAGCAACACCAACCAAGTTTATTGTCCACCTTTGTTTCCCATGGCATTTTTCCATGGTGTGTCTGCTCCCCTGCTTGGTCTTGCAGTTTGGTCTTGCCCAAGATGTCAGCTCTTGGCCTCTGAGCCTGGCAGATTCAAAAGTACACAGTATCTTACTTCAGCTTCAAGTTCCAGTAGCTATAAGCCTTCAAACTTTAAAAATATTCCTAGCTCTGAGTTTTGGATTTCTGCCCTGGATTTGCTTTACCTGGTATGGCAGATGGCGAACTTAACTGCACCTCCACCCTAGCTGCCATCAAGCCCCGCCTCTCTTCTTTCAATGCTTTCTGCATCATTCAATATTTTACCCAGAGAATTCCTCAATATTTCAAGTTGAGCTTTGAATTTTTTCTTCAGTTCTCACAGCTTGAGAAATGCTGAGTGTTTTATTCCCTTTTGGCTTTCTAACTCCAGATTTTTGCATATTTCGTTACAGTATTTGACTTTGTCTTCTTGAGCTGCCTTCTAAAATTTTCTATTTAGCTCTTGACCCCCTCATTTCTTCCATCTGCTTTAGCATCTGTATGCTGGAAAACAAGCTTCAGAGTTTCTTCTGACATCCATTTTGGCCTTTTCCTTCTTGTCTTCTTAATGACCTTTGCTTTCTTCCTATTACGATCTTGATTGTCATCCCATAACTCTTCTGGTCTTCAGTTTTTAATGTCTAATGCATCAAATCTGTTCTTCAGATGATCTCTAAATTCAGACAAGATATATTCAAGGTCATATTTTGGCTTTCATGAACTTGTTTTGATTTTCTTCAGCTTCATTATGAACTTTCATATGAGCAATTGTTGGTCTGTTCCAGTTTGTACCTGGCTCTGTTTTGACTCATGATATGGAGCTTTCCCACCATCGCTTTCCACAGATGTAGTCAATTTGATTTCTTTTTATTTCATCTGGTGAGGTCCATGTGTATAGTCATCTTTGATGTTGTTTAAAAAAGGTATTTGCAATGACTAATTCATTGATTTTACAAAAATTCTATCATGCTATCTGCAACATTGTTTCTATCACCAAGGCCATATTTTCCAACTATTGATCCTTCCTCTTTGCTTCCAATTTTTGCTTTCCAATCACCAAAAATTATAAAAAAAAAAAAAATCTTGATGGCATTTTTGCCCAATTTCAGACTGACGATTTTGGTAGAATTCTTCAATTTTATAACTGGCTTTAGTGGTTGGTACACATACTTGAACAATAGTCATATTAACTGGTCTTCCTTGTAGACATATGTATATCATCCTTGTAGGCATATGTATATCATCCTTGTAGGCATATGTATATCATCCTATCAACAGACAACATTTTACTTCAAGACAGACCTTGACATGTTCTTTTTGATGATGAATGCAATGCCATTCCTCTTCATTTTGTCATTTCTGGCATAGTAAAACATGTGAATGAATGTCAGATTCAAAATGGCCAATGTCAGTCCACTTCAACTCGCTAATGCCTAGGATATTAATGTTTATGCATTCCATTTTACTTTTAACAATTTCCAATTTTCCTTGATTTATGCTTCATAATTCTATGTTCTGATTATTAATGGTTGTTTGCAGCTGTTTTTCTTCAGTCTGAGTTGTGCCTCATCAGCAATGGAAGTCCCAAAGGCTTTACACCATTTGTGTCATCAAAGTCATTTTACTCTGAGGAGGCAGCTCTTCCCCAGTCGTAACCTGAGAGGCTCACCTTCTAGCACTATATCTGACAATTTTCTGATGCTCTTTATCATGTTTCAGTATTCAGTATTCTGATTCTGACAGTGTGCCATTGCTATTCATAAGGTTTTCAGTGACTAAATATACAGAAGTTCTCTTTTTTTTTTTTTTTTTTTATTCCTTCTTTCTCTTTGCTGGTAGGAATGAAAAATGCATTTTGGTAGATAGTCTGTTAGTTTCTTACAAGGTTAAATACAGGCCTACCATATGATCTGACTGTAATCACACTTCTGGGTATTATGCATGTAAGTTGAAAACTTAATGGGGATATAAAAAAAACACCTTAAAATGAATGTTTATATAGCAACTTTATTCATAATTACCAAACAATGTAACATTCTTACTGCATTACTACAACCATATAATAGAGTGTCATTAGCAATAAAAAGAAACACATTACCAAGCCATAAAAAGACTCAGATGAACCTTAACTGCATTTTACTAACTGAAAGAAGTTGGTATGAAAAAGCTGTACATAATATATGATTTCAACCACAGATAGGACATTCTGGAAAAGGTAAAACTACAGAGACAGCTACAAGATCAGTGGGGTCAGAGGGACAGAGACGTAGAAGAATTGGAAGCACAGAGAATGTTTGGATGAGTGCAACTTCTGCATGATGCTATAATGACATTTTGCATTTGTCAAAGCCCATGGGACTGCACAACACAAAGAATAAACCCAGTGTCAACTAAGAATTTTAGTTAAAAAGAATGTATCAATATTCGTTCATCAGGTGCAACTAATGTAGCACACAAATGCAAAATGTCAATAGGAGAGACTGGAAAAGTAGGGAAGGGGAGGGGGTGTTTGGGAACTGTCTATACATTTATTAAAAAATAGAAATACAATATACTAAAATTGATTCATGTCAAAATGAATAAGCTTTGCTCCTTTCCTTCAGTATGTTTATTCCTGTGTTTAGCAGCGCTCTTTCATGCACATCTTAACGTTGAGTCTTAAAATACAGCAGCTCCTTCATAGCTTATTTGGGTACCTGCCCCACCTCCCATTCCTCTGACAGTGCTCTCTTCACCTCATGAGCCCCAAGGAGTCCAGGTTACATAGTAGCTGTGTCCTGACTAGTCTGCTTTCCACATGAGACATCCAAGTCCTCCCTGATGTTACCAGAAGGAGGTGAAAAAGGAATTTTTCAGGAAATCACCATCCTGTTTATTTTTTCCAGTTATTTCTCATCTCCTAGATATTACTTCCTGGGCCCATTTGGGTCTCCCAAGGATCTCTCTGTCCACTCATTTCTTCAACCTGAGCTATCATATACTTACGATATTATTGACCACGCGATTAGAAAGCAAAAAGATTTGTGTTTTCCTGTTTTTCAAAAGCAAATTACTATGTTGCAAATAATTGAAGTATACATTAATTTGATAGGGCATTTTTGGAATTTAGGAATTTTATTAAAGACATTGCTTTTAGAAGTAATTCATGGTCAACACAAATAATTGGTAACCAAGTGTTCTAATGAGTCAGAACCGACTCCATGGCACATAACAACAACAACAACAACAACAACAACAACAAGCATTCTAAATATATTTCTTATGAGGTTCACTCTTTTTTAACTATAGGAACTGAAAACCAGAGTTATCAGATCATATACCACATAGTAAATTAAAAAATCAGTTGTTAAAGATTATATAAAGTTCATTTTAGTATTACATCATACATGCACCATGTATATTCTGGAGTCCTGGTGTGGCAATGTAGGATAAGCACTGGACTACTAAGTGTAAGTGGTCCAAACCCATCAGGTGCTCCTTGGAAATCCTATACAGAATCACTACTTGTCAGAACTGACTTGATGGCATTTAACAAGAATAATATATGTACTACCAGGAGAAAGAGAAAACTTTCTGCTCCCTCAAAGGTGTACAACTTCAGAAACCCTAAACAGGGTCACTTTGAGTCAGAACAGACTCAGCAGCACTTAACAACCACAACATAAACATACTATAAAGTTACTTTTGAAATTCCTGGAATAAAATACATGTTGGTTGCTGTTGCTTTTAAAATACAGTGCTATGGATATTTTACAAAGGCATTTTATCATTTTTTTTCCCTAAATTTTCCTTTTTCACTTACATAAAATATAAGTACTATAGAATGTCAAAGGTGCTTAGATACATATTTTTTTCATCATAAAATTGGTAATTAAAAGAAGACAAAGTGCAGATAAAACAGGAAAAGCTTTAACATATGGATAGGTAACTTTCTCATCAAGGGAAAGAAACACTCCATGTATTAAAAAATATTCATAGGCTCTTCAAAAAATAGCCAAAAAAGCAGCAGTAGACTGTACCCACACAACTGAATCATGGTAAAAAAATTCACAGGTTAGCTTTCCAAACTTTCCATTCCATGGCCCACCTACAGGGCACTGTTATCTTTAGATAGTGTTCCCCATCTTACGTGAGCATTGCTTTATAGTTGTCCATGTCGGTCACTGCCTTCTGAAGTTTTAGCTCAAGTGTTTCTACTTGACATTGTAAATCTGAAATGACAGTTTATTAATATCATAAGTAAATTTTAAGTGTCTAGATATTTTCATACCAAAAACTAAAACTCATTGCTGTCAAGTTAAGTAAATTGTGACTCATGGTGACTCCATGTGCTAAAGAAAGAACTGTTCCATCAGGTCTACTTGGCTGTCATTTTAGAAGCAGATTGCCAGACCTTTCTTCCACAGTGTCTCAGGCTCAGGGTAAACCATACTCTTTCAGAGTTGGGAAGATTTTGTTGTCGTTATTAAAGTGCCATCTAAGGCAGTTCTGACTCATAGCAACTCTGTATAGGGTTTCTGAAGAATGGCTGGTGGGGTTGAACCACCAACCTTGCAGTTCAAACCAACCTTCTAGTCTAGTGCTTTATCCTACAGCGCTACACCAGGACTCACAACTAAAGAATAATGAAGTTGTTTCACTTTGCCTGGATGACCCTATGGAGTTCTTTGGCTGCTTAATGTTCCCATGATGACATATCATAAAATTATTGGGCTCCGACAGAGTTTTGGGCCTCTTCTTGACCCCACCATCAAACTAATTTTCAAACAGCTGTCATATACTTAATGTTTATTAATGTCTTCAAAGGAAACTTGTCACCCACACATATCTAAATTTCTGATCACGTGTCTTGCTTCTAAAAATCTTGATTGCCTGAGCTTTCTTATGACCTGAACTGAGGAACATTGCTGAAACCTTCTGGTAGAACTCAAACAGATAAATCATTGCAAGACTCCTGGTAAAATAGTTTTATTTCTGGGTAGTATTTTAAAGACACTTAAATTACTTCCAAAGCCAAGGAAGCAAGAAATTGATTCCTATAGAGTCTTAAAGTAGGGAATTCCAGCAGTATTTGAGGAAGATTAGTCAAGCAGCCATGTCTAACTTGTGTGTAGATGAAGAACTGAAATTAAAACAGAGTCTGTGTATGATCTGAACCCCAGTCCCAGTGTTAGCCTGTGCTGGAACTCTTTTGGAGAACATGGAAAACAAATTTACACAGAAGAACTAACTCGTTTCTGTGCAGAATATGGTTTAAAATGAGAATTATAGAATTTCTGTTCCATCAAATATGTTTTCAGAACCTACTTTTCTTTGTTGTATGCTGTCGAGTCAGCTCCAACTCACAGCAACCCTGTATAAGGATTCTGAGGAGCAACTGGTGAGGCTTGAACCACCAACCTTACAGTTCAAACTGACCTTGCGTCCAGCACATTAACCCACAGCACCACCCCAGGACTACTTTTAGTAGGAAACCTAAAAATATTTAAAGTTTTTATATTTATCTTCAAACTGTCTTAACTGGTTTGTGAGGAAAAACCAGTACCTTAAATTGGAAAATAAATTCATTCTACACATTTTAATTAGGATTAACCAATACATTTGCGTAAGTATCTATTCAGTATTTTTTTTTAATTGAATTTTTTTTTTCAAATGTTTTATTGTGAATTGTGTGATAGTCTACATGGGAGAACATTAGCTTTACATTCATTCCATCATCTATCATTTCATTGGAATAGTTACCATCCCATCCATGCATCCTCACCCAACCAAGGGGTGTACCCTGTAAGCCTGCACACTGCCCCCACCACAGTCCTCAGCCCCTTCCTATCTCCTGATCCCGAGTCCCCAGCCACACTCTCTTGCCTCTCTGGGTAGGATCCCACTCTCCACTCTTCTCCATTGATGGTGCCAGGGTCCTCCGCTCCTAGACTGAAAAGTCAATCACTCCCCTCCTTGCTACAAATGTCCACCTTTAGATTTCCAACCCTCACAATCAGTCCTGATAACAACCATTCATCTTTGCATCACAAGAGAGCCATCTGTATTTCGTTTCATCAGCCCTTCCTGGACAGGCTGGATACCATTCACTGGAGACTCTTAACCTTCCTCCACGCCCTTTGGATCTAGGTTCCCTCTTGAAAGCTTGTAAGCCAGTCACTTCCTACCTTTGTATCCCTCCCCCCATTTTGGGTAGCCAATGTCCAAGTTGCCCATCCTTGTCTACTCTTGGTGTGGAGGGGGTGGGAATAGTTCTTGCAGCAGGGATTTGTTTCCTCTTTTGAGCTACTGCATTCATAGGTGTAGGTCATGTTTATTGAATTGTATCAGATGATACTTTTTTCCTCTTCTTTCTTCTTTGGGTTGAGCTCTGTTTATCCAGTCACTGAAGTCCAGTCAAATGGGTATCATCTGCAACTGTGGGTGTTCTTACGTCTGTCCGGCCTCTTTTTATCTACTGGCCACCCCGCTCTCCACTCTAGACCTCTGTGGCTGTATCATTGACCCTGAGCCCATGAGACCCCAGATGTTGCCTCGCCACTGGCCGACCAGGTCTCCATCCGGGTTCACAGTAGTTTGCTGAACGATGTAGGGCTTAGCTCGCCCCGTCATTGATGTTCTTCGGTCACTTCCCCTTCTGGGTGACGTGCGTGGTTGTCAGTCAAAGCGTATATTTCCCTTGCATCTTAGTCTTGGAAGAGAATTTGCACTGAGAGGATCTGACCACTTGCTTTGATGTCTCCTGGGCAAGCCACCTGTATGTTCTTGTGGTAACAGTTGGACTGCCATTATTGTTTTGTGTTTTTCCTGTAGGTCCTCCTTTCAAGAAATATCTGCTGGTTTTCTAGCTGCTCCCAGCTGGTCTGCTTGTCCTTTGAACTGGAAAAATTTCCCGTCTCTGAAGGTCTGGATGTGGTTCAGGCTTTGACCTATATGCCCATGTAATGCAGAGGCTCCTCAGTAAACCTCCTTCACTGCACACATTATAGCCCCAGTTTAGGTATTCCAATCAGTTATAGGCAGAAAATGGGCTTACAGGCTTTCCATGTTGATATTTCTGGTTATTCCTTTCTCTCCCCTTCCAGTATCTGTTTTATAATGTATTGCAAGGAAAACCATGATTCAAAAGACAGCCAAGCATCTTAACATTATTCCTCCCTTTTCCCCATCCCATTCATGTCTCAGTCTCTGTATTCCAGAGCCCTGTTGTTCCAAAGCTGTGCCTACATCATTTTTTACCTCTGTCCCATTTAGCCCATTCATACCTATTATCTAACTGTTCTCCCATCTGTTTGTTCTTCGATTCCCCTCTCCCTACTTGTATATTGCCCCCCTACCCAATACCCAAATTATCTTGTGTCTATTCCCTGCCCTGTGCTTCACCTTCCCCTCCCACCCCTATCCCTACCCCTACATCCTAGCAATCCACTAAGAATCCACTTTAGTGGATTAATATGGGGTTTTTTTCTTAGTCTTTTACATTAGTGGTCCTATGTAGTATTTTTCCTTTTGTGACTAATTTCACTCAACATAATGTCTTTAAGGTTCATCCATGTTAGGAAGTGGCATGCAGCTTCCTTGTTATTTTTCAAGGTAGCATAATACTCCATTGTGTGTATGTA